TGGCGAAAGTACGTCGGTGATTGCAAGGTCTGAAGCCTCTCGGTTGAGAGTCGGTAGAGTGAGAAGTAAGGACTGAGTGCTGAGCGCGCTCATCCTAAATTACTGCGTGTTAGTGGTTATCGGTGGTAACTAAACCAACTAAGAACGTAACCGTCATGACGAAGGATACTTTATGTACTTATGAGCTTAGGTGGTATACTAGGATGTATGTTGTATGGGCTTTTGATGAGTATGAGACACCGCTTTTTGACTACGATTGAATCACTCAGTGTCTGTTGACAACTACAGGGAAGAAGCCCTGCTATCTTGTGTTGGTTTTTTCACTTTTTGGATGTTCTGGAGAGATGAGAAAAGCAGGGAGAGCGCGTGGTAGACGAGCGATCCGTTGATTGGAGAAGCATTTTTTAGAGTTCCGCTTACAGAAGTAAAAATAAATAGTATCTCCGCTCGAGACAATCAACAACATACTCCTGTCGGAAACCATCAAAAAAGTTGCCACGACTATTTCTATTGAACAACTCACAGAAGTCAAAATCAATAGTATCTTCCAAGAACAAGATGTTGAGTCTCTTTTCTCTTTCCGCATCTTCCAGATGCCTTCTAGGAGGCACCGCTCTGCGAACTACCAGAACCTTGGCAGCTCCATCATCATCCACTCTTCAAGTGCGTTTCGTCAACAGCATGAAGGCCTTCCAAACGAAGTGGAAACGGAAGATGAGGTCGGGACGTATCAATAATAAATGGGGTCGTCGCTATGGCCCTCAGCGTTGTCAGTATGGATGGCATTGAATAGTAGCAATAAGACATTGATGAAAAGGTGTCCTGCAGCTCCTGTCGTGGGATGAAAGGGTGTCCTTTGCTGCCACCGAATTGCTCATGGGACGAAAATTGCACACAGAAGAAGGAGTATTGTATTTTCCGGTCAGAAGTATTGTAGCTTTCAACTGAAACAAACTTGACGTTTTGTAGTTGGCGAAGGCAAAAGGAAAAAAACATAGACACTGCTGCTGTTCGTCATCGCACTTCTCATCCTGAATTCTGTCAGTCAATCATTGATGAATCTGTTGGGGAAAGAGACATTCATCATGGATTGAAATTGGGGACGAAAGGGTGGAGCAAATGAATGAATGGGGAAAGGAAAATAATGATCATTCTACTGATAGAAGTTGTGACAGTGAAATCCATCATACTCTGCCAGGTCGCGCGGTTGGTCTACACTGAGTTTTCAAGCCAAAGAAAACGAGAGAATTGAAATGGCAAGGCCTTTTTTTGGGAAAAGACAACAGAATAAAATCATGATTGAGAGCATTTTTCAAATAGCAATCACGCACTCTGCCCCTCCCTGCTCCCCTTCTTTCCCCGAACTAACGAGTGTTGGCATTTGATCAGCTTGCTATGATATTCTTACAGATACAGCACCAGCAGAAAATAAGGAACAGTTGTCTTTCACTTTTCCGAAGTTTTTGTGGTTTCTTTTTTACCTTTTTCACCTGCAGAATCAACACTCTCAACTAAGGACGAAAATTAATAGGTTTTTTTCACGACTCGAGTACTTACATTCATTTGGTCTCTTGTCTTTTTTCTAAATTGTTTTCTTGTTTATTTCCTTCGCCTAGAACACCTTGAGCACCTACGTAGCACGAAGCATTCAATTTTAGAAGCTCCATTTGATTTCGAACCACGGATACCACATTCACAGAAAAGGACTCTAAACCAACTGCAATTACTTCCGAGGACCAGAGAATAACAATAAGTACTACCTCCCAAGAAGTAGAAGAAAGAAACACCACACAATTAAATCTTTCGAAAAATATTGTAGTGATCTCTACGAAATCACATACATCAGTACTTTTAGCAGTACTACTCTGATCCAAAGTACATCCAAATTTTCCAGTGATCAACATCACACACTACTTACACGGTACTACTACTAAAAGCATTTTTACTAAAATCAGTACTAAAATCCAAACTACTAACTACATTGTGGAGTGATTTTTTTCGCCATATTCTGGTAGTGATCATCTTCTTCAAACTGTTCTACTTATAGTGAACATGGCCTCCAAACCAATGGATTCCTTCGCTGCTTGTTTGGATGGCGTCAAATCCGCAGTTGATGCGGTGTGCGGACCCAAGAAGAGACCGATTATCATTATCTTCGGCCCTCCAGGTGCGGGCAAAGGGTACTATTGTGTTAAAGACTGTGTTTGAAGACTGTTGTCCATTGTCTCTCTTTTGTGTAAGATGAACAATCAGTAAACACACCATGACTTCAGGAACTATCGGGTTAGCAGTACCGTATTAAATTCCTATTTCTATGTTGGAGACTGTTGTCCATTGTCTCTCTTTTTGAAGATTGATGTGTAAGATGAACAACCAGTAAACTACATAGATGGATGTTGATCTACTTCAACAAGGCAACATAACTTTTATGAACAAGAACTTGATGAACTTGAAACACATCATGAAGACAGCCTACTAGTAGTTACCACAACTTACTACAACTCGATTGTGCAGCGTCAGAATGTCCTTGTGGATGTTATTTCAATACAATCAACCCCAGCCGCTCATCCCTATCTTCACTAACCACCAGATCCGTCTCTCCTCATATCGAGGAAAGTGTAATCTAATCAACAAACCACCAGATCCGTCTCTCCTCATATCGAGAAGAAATTGAATGTTGTGCAGCTATCCACTGGGGACATGCTGAGAGCGGCCGTCGCGAAGGGAACGGAGACTGGGAAGAAAGCTAAGGCCATCATGGACTCTGGAGGCTTGTTAAGAGGACTGAAAAGAATTCATTTCTAAGAGTCATTTTTCTTTGTGTCCTTCTTAGAAGGAAGCTGAGAATAAAATGTACGCGGCAAGAAATGAATTGTAGTGAATTCTAAGCTTGGTCAGTGATGACATCGTTGTTGGCATCATCAGAGAAAGGATACAGGAGGATGACTGCAAATATGGGTACTATTGATTCGATGTTTCGGATACACGCCTCAGCAACGTAAGTAACTCGATGATGGTAGAGCAACAACGTGACCCCAAAATCTCTGTGCATGCTTCGTCACACTAGAACGTCATTATTTTGATAATCCCAATGGAGCATCGACTATAACGAGGACATGACGCTGATGGCTCGCACAAAGAGAGTAGAGATCATGCGCTCGCATGAGGCACGTTGTAAAGGGAAGTAGTCAGTAGGAGCTTCTCTAAACCCCTGGAGTGGGTACACTCATTCATTCAGACTCTCAGTCTCACGCATCAACTTTCAACTTCTCCTTGCCAGTACTGTCGCAGAACTACTCTCGCACAACAACTACTTCCTCGCAAGTGATCCTAACCACAATCACAAAAGGTTCCTCCTCGACGGTTTCCCTCGCACAGTCGCTCAGGCGAAGCAGTTGGATAGTATGTTAGCAGCCAAGGGTGAAGGAGTGACGAAGATTATCCAACTGGATGTGAAAGACAGCGTGTTGGAGGAACGCATTTGCGGTCGCTGGATCCATAAAGCGAGTGGCCGCAGCTATCATGTTGTTTACTTATGGCTTCGCCTACCAGTCGTATTATCAGCTACTTATCATATCCTACATAGTTGTAGACTATACATCATCAGCTATCATGTTAGTATGCCATGATAGTGATAGTGTGGTTGGAGTTATTTTCCGTCCTGTTGAACAATCACAGTGAATAATCAAAATCCATATAATTGTTATCGATCCTATTGATCTTCTCGATCATCGCTAAACACGAACTACTCACTCTAATGTCTGCGCCGCCAAAGTGCTTCATCGGCAAAAAACCCCATGAGGCATCGCCCACAACCATGCGCGACGATGAGACCGGTACTTTACCTGATTACATCTCTTTATAACTCCAAATGTTTAGCCAGCTTGTTTAGTCCTCGTACCTGCGTCTGTTGATTTAAGTAATAACTTGATGTTGCATGTTTTAGCTTTCCGAAAAGATCACTCACACACTGTCCCTGAGAGCAACTAGTTGTCGTTCATAAGTATGATTGTATCAATCTTCTTCTTCTTCTACTTCTTCGTGCCACAGTACATCAACCCCTCCTCCAGGTGAGCCGCTCTACCAGCGACCTGATGACACCAAGGCTGCGTTGCCGAAAAGATTGGAGGCCTATCACAAGGAAACGGCACCCATCCTCGATCACTACAAAGCCAAGAGTATCACGTTCAAGGTATTGCTTGACGATTGACGTAATTATATCTTTCAATTTAATTACTCGAAAACTGAAAATAACCGAGTAAGTGACTGAAATCAGGGAGGTAGGTAGGTTTGACAGGGCTACTCTTCCTTGTTCAGGCTACTTAACTGTGCTTATATTTCAAGTAGTTACTACTCGTTTATTTCAGTTATAAACACAAGTCAATCCATCAGGTCGATGCTGGACAGGACATGCGCATTGTGCAGGAAAAGACGCTTGCCCTGCTATAACAAGGAGCATAAAGACCACCTTCAAGGAGCGACAACTCTTCATAGTGACCTTTTGGTTTTGACAAACATACTTGATGTATATTCACATTTAGATGATTTTCAAGCAATCTTTTACTTCTAGAATCAATGCCACAGAAATATTCAAGACGACGAACTTCGAACGCTAAAACGGGAAATAATGTCAGATGAAAACTAGGGATATAAGGACTTCAACACGACACCAACAGCTTTCCATATTGACAAAAAAAAATCCTAAAAAAATTTTTTTTCTTTACACCGTGACCGTCTTTGATCTTGTAAATTTTGAACAGAATTAGAAACCTGCACAGGTTTGGTCGACACAGACACCCAAATCAATGTACAAGAACAACTTATGACTGTGGTAAGGACACAGACGCAATTGCGCCGAAAGCTAGAAGAAAGAATCTTAGAGCTTAGAAGAATTGCACCCTAAATCTCGTCTACCTGAACCTGAAAATGATGGACCTGAAGATGATATGATCATATGCAGCCATATGGTAGTATGAAGATGAACGACAACGACACCACAGAAGTTCTAAGATTTGCTAATGATTAGATTTTCCCATAGCTTCCATCTACTTCTTCTACAACGGGCCGGCGCGTCGGTGTGTGAGATACACGACAGCCTTCAAAATGATTACCTCACAGCCGCTTCAATGTAAAACTAAATGAGTCGTAAACGTGTCAGGTTAAAAGAAAATGTACATATTCTTGTACTAGCAGTCTTCAAGTAGAACTACTTTGATTATCCGAAGGCTACTAAACTTAATCACAAAAAGCTTCTCACTATATTCCAATATTTGGCTGTGGTTTATTCGAACCATGTTTATAGATGCTTACGCGATAGTACAAGAACTACAAGTACAATGTCAAGTAAAGACAAGATCATCAAAATGAACAAGAACATTTTCCAATTAAAACACGTCAATTTAGCAAGCTACATGAGCAGGAGATAGAACCAGAACCATATCGACTAGCAAATACATGCAGTTGTGACAAATTGGTCTTACAGAAAACACCCTTGTTGTACTAGAATCAAACTGCTGCACTGGCAACTTTATTGTTGGATCGAGAACGAGGTTGCATGTCACGATACAAACCTACCCATGTGGAGTTTATGTATAAATATGTAGCATACGATACAAGGAACCGTTGATGCCGCCTCCTCCTTAAAGACTGAGCCAATCGTTGAGCACATCGCTGCGCCGGCCACGACTGTGCTTCATTCTCGTCAGATACTTACCAATGGCAAATATACCAGATAAGATGAAACATACTTCTTCTGAAACTTTGAGAAGATGGTCAATGAATTTACGACCAAGTACTACATCGAAAGTAGTAGACGTTGATGTAGTAGAGAAACGTACGTGCCGTAAACGTAATCGAAGAAGCAGAAACGTTGTATGAAGAAAAGAGGATCTTTTGCAAGGCGACAAATTTTAGCACTTTTGCTTCTGCTGAGCAGTAGGCTTTCCCGAGACCACATCATCTGTTTCTTTCTTTTAAGGTCAGCTTTTCTTCGATGAGAAACTACATCGAGAAACTACTACATCGAGGAGAGAAACAAGAACAAAGTTTGATGAAAGTTACTCCGAGACCACGTTGTGCCAAAAAACTGGGTGAAATCTAAAACAGAACAGTTCGGTAATTTAGTCGGGACTCAAGAAGAACAAAAACAAATCCATGAGAATTGTCTCGTTTCTCTTTGCACTCGGACGATAAGCATCTCGATCTGGCGACTCATCGTTCCTCGTTCGTCTGAGCACGAAATCGGATCGCAGAGAAGTCGTCCGGCACGAAGGCGTATATTTCGTCTTCATCCATCAGCCTCTGCTTGCTTCCAAATCTTCTTCGTCATCGGAGATAGAACAAGATGTTTCCGCCTCGACAAGTGCAGAATGTCGGATTGGTAGCTATACATTACTAGGGAAGTTGCTCCTCTGGACCCCACGTGGCAAATATAGTGGGCTAGGAAGTTCCTCCTTACTGCAGCAAGATTTTTTTAGCTTCCTTGACTATTTTGAAAACGAGAAAGAGAGAAGAAAAACACTCAAGCAGCTTGAGAGGCTCAAAGAGTTGCAACGTCGAACGCGAACGAG